TCCACAAGAGGAAGACAGAATCGCCATCAGCAGCCCAATGCCTGCTTCTATGCGGCCAGACATGCCCTCATTATCCAAGCCTTTTACCAACCTTGACACCAACCATCCCTCTGACAGCACCCACCACCTGTCTGCTGGGTTTGATAATTCACTGCAGTGGCCACACAGAACTCACTGATTATGGGGTTTATTAGGAAAGCAGCCAGCTACAGTTCAAGTTCAGGACTGTGCTCAGTCTCTCTCAGCCAGCTGTCTCAGTCTCTCTTAGTAGCACATCAGACTCTCAGTGGTGTGTCTCTCTCATCTTTCTCTCAGCAGCACGTCTTTCTTATGTCTCTCAGCAAGTACATCTCTCTTAGCCGGCAGTCAAAGAGATTCCTTTCTCCCTCTAGAAGGGCTCGTTTTAAGCCTGGCAGGGTAGCAAAACTAACAAATCCCAACATCAGAATTCTACACACCTGAGAGTGAACTTTCCCAGAAGATACTTTGTGCTGCCCCAGGTGGATGAATTTAACAAGCAGCTACTCAGTTGCTTACAGCAGAGTGGGAGTTACAAAGACTATGGCTAGAAGAGCCATACCATATAATTTACTACACTGCAGGGATGAAGCTCCTAGAAGCCATCCTCGGCTTTCCAGTAGTGCTGGACCAAGTTCACTCTTCTTTGGCATCTATCGGCTCCTCATAGCCAATGCCTAGAGTCAGGGATAACATCTTATGACTGAGAAGAGATCATATCAAATCCCCTCACTACGCAGTCAAATGTGGGGGACAGGGAGATGTTTAACTCTTTCTCCTTATGTGTATTTTGCCCACTGGGTCCAAAATGATATGGACATGAAGTGTCTCTGGGCACCTCATGCGAATGTGATTTCATTTTTCCATTAAGGTCTGGACTTCTGGTGTTTGAACCACTAACATATATTGAGTGCCTGAAGTCATATGTAACTGTATTTGAACACTAATTCTAGGATTTATCAGCCATGAGACTTTGGGTGTGGGATACCAGGAAGGATTTTATTTTATTTTATTGTTTTGGTGAAAAAATACACAGCAAAACATACTCCCATTCAGCAACTTTCACATGTGCAATTCAGTAACATTGGGTATGTTCTTCATGTTGTGTCACCATTTTTGCTAACTCTTTCCAAATTATTTTACCATCATTTACATCGATTCACTGCCCCCTAAACTCTTCATCTGTGGTTTAGAGTTACTGTTGTCAATTTGATCTCATATAGAAAATTCATTAAAACATGGCAATATCCAAGGCAAACATTCTTTACTAGTTGAGGTAAGCTACTGTTTGGTTTCAAGATGACTTCAAGGGATAGTTTTGGTTCAAGGTTTAAAGATTTTTTCAGGACAGTCAATTCTGAGATTCCTCCAGTCTCAGTAGGCCCAGGAAGACTGCATTCCATAAGAATTTTAAATTCCGTTTCACATTTTACCCCTTTTGACCAAGATCCATCTATTAAATCCTTGATCAAAACATTCATTAATGGTAACCAGGCAACATCCAGTTCTTCTAGCCTCATGGTAAAGGAGACAGTTGTTCATGGAGGCAATTAGACCTGCAGTCCAGTTCCTCTTCTGATTTCTAGGAGGGATTTCTAATCAGTGAATGGAACTGGGTGATAAAGAAAGAATATGTCAGTGAAGAACTGAGGTTCCAGGGAAGTAGCCTAGCTTTGTGGAACTGGTTGAAGAGGCAGTAACCTACTTTCTGGGGAGCTGAGTATCTGACGTCAGAGTGCATCCAGCTGCAAGCGTAACTGCTAAGTTGCTAAACCCTTAACCTAAAGCCCTCTGCTTCTCTCTTCTAAGAAGAGAATTGATTTAACTTTGGAGTAGTGCTGAACCCACAAGTAGGGGTCATATGGGACCTGTTACATGGGTTAGAGAGCAGTAGGAACAAAGAGCCAAGCAAGTTGCAGTACCATTTGTGGGCTGTAATGATGAGACCTTCAGCTGAGTCACCATGGATAAGGGAAATAATCTATATGAAATGTGTTTTGTAAATTTAAATACATATTTGCTTCTGTTGTTGCTCTCTTCATTTCATATCCTACTTCCTCTCTCAAGCCCAAGACTATGAAGTAATAACCTCCTTTAGTTCTTAATTTCCTAGTGGTGAGATCTATTACTTAGTTCTGTGCTTACCCTCTGACTTCAAGTCATAGCCACAGTCCTGGCAACTCCCTGCCTCACCAGCCTGGACAGTGTCCTTCTGGGCTGTGACCACAGTCAGTCTCAGACCAGCCCCTGCCATAATGATTGACTCTTAATGCCTGGGGAAGGCGCTCTGGTGGCATAGTGGGTAAGGGCTTTGGCTGCTAACCAGAAGGTTGGTGGTTCAAACCCACCTGCTGCTCCATGGAAGGAAGATGAGGCCATCTACTTCCATAAATATTTACAGCCTTGGAAACCTAATGGGGGTCGCTGTGAGTGAGAATCAACTTGATGGTGGTGAGTAAATGCCTGGGGAGCTCAGAGCTGGGTGACTCATCACTGCCGATAATTCCTGTCCATTTCCCCCTCCTTTGCCATTCACCCTCAGCTATTTCTCCCTTTTTCTGGCCTTCCTTTCAGATTCTTTGATGAGCTTGTCTCCCTACCCACTCTGTATCAGTTCATTAATAATAAATAAATGATGATAATAATATTTAACATTTACTGACCTCTGTACCAGATACACCATTTCGTTTTGTTTGTTGTCAGCCACGTTTGTTGTTTGTTCATTTCTTGCATTTGAAATACTCTTCAGTGACATCCTTGGCTTGAGATTCTTTGCTGTAGACGTTAAACACACAACTACAACCAACCACTTTATAAAGTTTTCCCTCTCAGTTTTGCAGAGGCCTACCCACTCCCCTAGTTTCTTGTTGTCATCAGCCTTACTCAGGTTCATTTGTTGTTCAGCACAAATGGCCTCCACTAATTTGACGTACATAGTCTTATCACAGTTGGATGCAAGCATAGAAAGATGGGCTCGGCACTTACCTAAGGCTTTGGCAGCTTTGCGAATTCCGTGTTCTAGACCATTCTGAATGAGGGGCAGTCTTCAGCACCTCTTGTGAAATAACATTAAGGCCCATTATACCTCCAGCAGCAGTGCCTTCCTTTGTCACGGCAGCAGATTGTGGATGGAGCTGAATTTTGAATGCACCCGGGCCTCAGCATAACTCAGTGGCTACAGGGAAAGAGACGATTTAATTTTAAATCTCCCCAAAACCATATGAACAGGTTCTGTTTTAATGTGCCCTTTATAGATGAGGAAACTCAGGCGATTAAGAAACTCACCTAAAATCTTAAGGCATAACAAACAGTGGTATCAGGATTTGAACCCAGGTTTGTCTGACCTTAGAGCTCACTTTTAGCCACATTGTACTTTCTTTGTGTCCCCCACCTTTTATCAAAAGAGATCTCAATGTTTCTCCCTTTCTTCAGCCTATTTAGCAACTCAGGCATTAATTCACCAGACTATAAGTACCTTCAATAAGTATTTATTGTCTAACTGCTAAATTCGTACAATTCAGGCATTTGTTCTCCTTGCTTCACACAAGACCATTTTCCTATCACCATAACCACTCTTCAGAGAGTCAAAATCTATGTATTTCTTGGAAATCATCATTTTTCAAAGGCTTTCAGTGTCTCTTATGCATTTTTTAAGTTATTTCAGATTGTAAGGAAGTCAATCCAACTTACTTTTACTAATCTTCATTTCTTACATGAGCAGACTAAGGCTTCAAGAGGAGAAATAATTTACATAGGGTCATACATCAAGCTAATAAACAACTCAGGGCAAAGATTCAAGTCTCCTGACACCTGGTCTAGTAGTATCCTGCTGTACTCACACTCTGGAAATGTTATTGTCACCAGGGGGATTTTCTTTTCATTTATAGTATAAAAGCAAACTTATTTCTTCATAGAGAAGGTATAGGCATATGTTTAGCCACGGAGCCAAGTACAATGAGTCAGCGTAACTTACAATTTTTATCTTCATACCAATGTGGATTCCGTAAAAGTGCTTCCAAACTGCAGAAAATTCCCCTACAGTCTACAGTTCAAGAATTTCCAGCATGAGGTGTCTGATAGCTCATCTCACTCTTTTGCCAAAAATAAAGCACAGCCACTGTCTCCTGACTCTGACCTTCTATAGTAGTGTAATCCTTCCTGGCAAATTCATTTTTCAGTATTGCAGTCTCCAAGCACACCCACTCTTTTCCTTTTGTCAATACTTTGTGTTACAAGGGCATATGTTTACAAAGTTAAAGTCTTGACTTGCGACAAATGAGACACTCTTTTGGAGAGCATATCATTACCAAGACTATGTAACTTAGACCATTGTTAACACTGAGGTAGCTCCAAATTTTTAATGCATTTCTTACCAAGAAATTAAAATAATGTTATGATTTATTGAGCATCAGGATGTGTCAGAGGATTTAAAACTCCCCTGGAAACTTTTCAACATATAGCCACACAAAGTCCCTTTGCTGTTGTTGTCGTTATGTGCCATCGAGTCGGACCCGATTCATAGCGACCCCTCCTTGGGTTTCCGAGGCAGTATCACTACGGCAAAGTCCCTTAGGAGGTAGTAAAGGATCATTGCTCACATTTTTACATATGGATAAACAGAGGCCAAGAAAGATCAAGGCAACTTCCTATGCTTTAAATTAATAAAGTATAAAATACTGACATTTAGGAAATCTACATGAAGGTTATATGGGGATTCTTTATACTATTTTTTTTAACGTTTTTATGTAAGTTTGAAATTATTTCGGAGTTAGAGCTAAAACAAAAATATTAGTAAAGCAGAAAAAAACAATGGTTAGTAAGGCAGACAATAAAATCTGCTTTCCAGTATTTACTTGATATTGCTTTTCAGTCTCTGAGGATATACCAGTCTGTGCTTTGAAATCCATAAATGACATCGTTGAAGAGATTCAGCTATGAATCCTGCTAACGTCAGGGGTTTTTCCATCTCTCGTGTCTCCCAGGCGCAGTGAACCTCCAGGCCGACCTCACTCTTGGCATTCAACCAAATTTGGGGAGAACCAACCTGATGCCAGCATGATGCAAATATCCCAGGGCACGATTGGCACTCCGTGGCACCAAAGTTACCATTCCAGGTAAGTGGCCACAGCTGAGACTAGGGAGTTTATTTCTTTCAAGTATCGTATTCCCAGAAAAAAACAATTGCCTTCTGTTTGAAGAATGTTTTCTTACGTAGTCATGTCTTAAGTGATTTCTTAAATCTCTCTACCCTGCTATCTTCCTCATCCTCTAAAAATTCCTAGGAGGTGTACAAGTCATCTTTATATCCTGGGCTAGATCACCATGAAGGGAGACCAGAATTATTTTCCTATCTGGTAATTTAAGATTATTTGTGGAGTCCATCAATTCTTAAGGTTCACTAGATTGTGCATTTTTAAGTGGTGAGATTAATTATATGAATTGTATCTCAATTAAAAAAAAAAAAGGATGTAGCCAAAGCAATACTTAGAGAGAAATTTATAGCAGTAAATGCTTAAATTAAAAAACAAAACAAAAAAAGCCGAACTCATTGCCATTGAGTTGGATCCAACTTATAGCGACCCCTCTTTGGGTTTCTGAGGCGTTATTAGTACGGAAGTGTTGTTGTTGTTGTTGTTGTTATGTGCTGTCGAGTTGGACCCGACTCATAGCGACCCCTCCTTGGGTTTCCGAGGCAGTATCACTATGGAAGTAGATTGCCCCATCTTCCTTCCGAGGAGTGGCCGGTGGATTTGAACCGCCAGCCTTCTGGTTAGCAGTCAAGTGCCTTAGCCACTATGCTACCAGAGCTCCTATGGAAGTATATTGTCCAAAATTAAAAAAGAAGAAAGATTTAAAAGTGAATAATCTAAGCCAGGGCTTGGCAAAATTTTTTGTAAGGGCCAGACAGTATGGGTCATACAGTGTCTGTTACAACTATTCAATTCTACTGTTGTAGCAAGAAAAGAACTACAGATAATACATAATTAAATTAGTGTGCCTGTATTCCAATAAAACTTTATTTAAAAAAAGAGATGGTAGATCAGATTTGGTCCTTGGGTTGTTGTTTGCCTGCTTTAATCTTTTCTTCCAGCAGCCCCACTGTTTTTCCATTGGAAAAACTGAATCAAAATGAGATTAAATAAGTCACAATCAAGTCATTTTTTTTATTGTAGTAAATATGTATGTAATGTATCAGTGTTTCATCAGACAACATACAGCACTGGGCTATTCATAAGGTTTTCCCTGGCCAATTCTTTGAGACATGGATGGCCTCTTCCTTCTTCCTAGTCTGTCTCAGTCTGTAAGCTGCATTGAAACCTGGATACCATGTGCAACCCTGCTGGCACTTGAAACACCAGTGGCTCAGCCTCAAGCCTCACAGCAACACACAAGGCACCATAGTATGACAAACTGACAGACAAGTTTGTCTCCCTTAGCTGTTTGAAACCTCTCCACCCTCCCCTTACCTGTATCCCTGGCTGCTGCTCTACTTTTTTTGCCTCCTCTGGCTTCACTTTCCCCCACATTCCTGCCTCTTGGGGGGGGGGGGGACTGGGTCCCTCTCCTTACCTGGATTCCTGGCTGCTGCTCTGCTCTGTCATCCCCTCTGGCTTCACTCTCCCCAGCTTTCCTGCCTGTTGCGTAAAGATTGATATCTCAGGCATTAATGAGCTGGAATGGACCAGTATTGGCCAGTTTGAATCAGACAACCATATGATCACTATGCTGGGAATGACAATTTCAAGAGGAATGGCATGGCATTCATCATCACAAAGGATGTTTCAAGATCTGTCCTGAAGTACAGTGCTATCAGTGATAGGATAATACCCATACACCTACAAGGAAGACTAGTTAATATGACTATTACTCAAATTTATGCACCAACCACAAAAGCCAAAGATGAGGAAACTGAAGATTGTTATCAACTTCTACAGTCTGAAATTGACTGAATGTGCAATCAAGATGTGTAATTACCACTGGTGACTGGAATGCAAAAGTTGGAAACAAAGAAGAATTGGTGGTAGTTGGAAAATTTGGCCTTGGTGACAGAATAATGCTGGAGATCACATGATAGAATTTTGCAAGACCAATGACTAATTCATTGCAAATACCTTTTTTCAACAACACACACGGCAGCTAAACACATGGACTTCTCCAGATGGAAAACACAGGAATCAGATTATATCTGTGGCAAGAGGTGATGGAAAAGCTCAGTATCTTCAGCCAAAACCAGGCCAGGAGCTGATTACTCATATGCAAGTTGAACCTGAAGTTGAAGACAATTAAAACAAATCCACAAGAGCCAAAATATGATCTTGAATATATCCCTCCTGAATTTAGAGACCATTTAAGAATAGATTTGATGCACTGAACACCAATGACCAAAAACCAGAAGAATTTTGGGATGACATCAAGAACATCATCCATGAAGAAAGCAAGAGGTCACTAAAAAGATGATAAAAGAAGAAAAGATCAAAGTAGATGTCAGAAGAGACTGAAACTTGCCTTTGAGTGGAGAGTAGCTAAAGCAAATGGAAGAAATGACAAGATGAAAGAGCTGAACAGAAGATTTCAAAGAGCAGCTTGAGCAGACAAAGCCAATTACTATAATGAAATGCGCAAAGACTTGGAATTGGAAAACCAAAAGGCAAGAACACGTTTGGCATTTCTTAAGCTGAAAGAACTGAGAAAAAAATTTAAGCTTCAAGTTGCAATATTGAAAGATTCTATGGCCAAAATATTAAATGATGCAGGAAGCATCAAAAGAAGGTGGATGGAATACACAGAGTCACTGTACCAGAAAGAAGTGGTCGATGTTCATCCATTTCAGGAGGTGGCATATGATCAAGAACCAATGGTATTGAAAGACGAAGTCAAAGTTGCACTGAAGGAGATGGCAAAGAACAAGGCTCCGGGAACTGACAGAATACCCATTGAGATGTTTCAATAAATGGATGCCCCACTGGAGGCGCTCACTCAGTTATGCCAAAAGATTTGGAAGACAGCCATCTGGCCAACTAACTGGAAGAGATCTGTGTTTGTACCCATTCCAAAGAAAGGTGGAAATTATCTAACAATATCATTAATATCACACACAAGTAAAATGTTACTGAAGAGAATTCAAAAACGGTTGCAGCAGTATATTGACAGATAACTTCCAGAAGTGCAGGCTGGATTCAGAAGAGAATGTGGAATGAGGGATATCATTGCTGATGTCAGATGGATTTTGGCTCAAAGTAAAGAATACCAGAAAGATGTTTACTTGTGTTTTATTGACTATGCACAAGCATTTGATTGTGTGGATCATAACAAATTGTGGATAACATTGAGAAGAATGGGAATTCCAGAAGCCTTAATTGTGCTCATGAGGAACCTGTACATAGACCAGGAGGCTGTTGTTTGAACAGAAGAAGGGGACCCTGCATGGTTTAAAATAAAAAAGGGAGTGTGTCAGGGATGTATCCTTTCACCGTACTTATTCAATCTATATGCTGAGCAAATAATCTGAGAAGCTGGACTATATGAAGAAGA